AATTTGAAATCCTTAAAATATGATGCATTCAGAAAATTATGACATCAATTGACACCAGAAATTCAAATTATGAGTCCCAGGACTGATTTGTGTGATACTTGTCAACATTTTAGAAATGGTTTACATTACAATGCTCACTAAGAAGAAGAAGCTAAAGAATTACTCAAAAAATTTAAAGAACATCTGTCTAAGGCTAAACTAGAAAGAAATTATTATAATAAAAACACTAAATTAGCAGAAGAACAAAGAAAATTAGTTGATCAAAATTATTCAAAGGGTAAAACACTATATTGCAGTATTGATGCTACTGCTCATTATAGTTATGATTGAGCTCAAAATGTTCATATACCACATTTAGATCAGCAAGTAAGTAAAATTTATTACCTTAGTCCATTTAAAGTTCATTTATTTGGTATTCAAGATGAAGCAGTAAGAGAACAAATTAATTATGTTCTTAATGAAGATGAAATTATAGGGAAAGGCCCAAATGGTACACTGAGTATGATTTTTGATGGAATTAAGAAATTGAATAAAGGTGAAAAGCATTTAAAGATTGCTTGTGATAAGGCTGGAGGTCAAAATAAAAATAATGTAACAATTTGGTTTTATTCATACTTGGTAATTTGTGGTTATTATGAAAGTGTTGAATTGAATTTCATGATTGCTGGACATACCAAATTAAAATGTGATGGTAGTTTTGGCTTGATTAAAAACTCCATAGAAGAACAAGAAAAACTGTTATATGGATAGAAATCATTCAAAGAACAAAATATTGAAAAGGAAAACAATTAATAAAATATTTTTTATTTTCATTAACAATTTAATAAAAATTGTTTCTATATTAAATAATTATGTATTAACTTTAATCCTTTCCTTGATGTGTACATGTTTATTACAGCATTCATAACATTTACAAAAAATTAAATAATAATTAATACCAAGGCCATGCAGAAATGAAAACTTTTTAAGGAACCTGATTTTTCACCTCCCAATTATATAGTTCCTTGAAAAACCATGAATAATAAATCTGATGATGATTACAGGTGTCAGATTTAATAAAAACTTTCCTATCGCAAGCATCCAAGTTAGTGCTTTCACACACCCTCATAATTGTAGAATTTCTTCCACAAGTGAAGGCCACCCACATGTTGGAAGGCTTTGGACAAAACTTTTCTTATCTTTTTCTCAGACCAGGCTTGGCTGTTACCATATGAGCATTGATCATTGACAAGAGTTGGCATCTGTGTGATATACCTCTCTAGAATAAAGTTTGTATCTGCAACTTGGGAGGTTGCAGCCTGGAAGTTGCTGTTTTGGATTTTACCTGATTCCGAGTTTTGAGTCCTGGGTTACTGTCTTGTTGGTGGCATGCCTGCTCACCAACAACCCTACCCCATTTAAATAACAAATTCAGTTGTCAAACAAAAAATTTGGAGAAACAGAACATTTATGAAAATGATTAATTAATGCATAA